ACAACAACAACTCATCTGCCCCTGTGGTGGTGCAATTGTTATGCTCTTTGTCGTTGCGCGCAAAAGATCTTAAGTCTATTCCTGCATACGATGATAACATTACAACAACAGAAAAAAAACCCAAAAAGAAAAAGTATATCTATCTATCTTCCTCACATAACTATATATACAAATGTATAATATAATGTGCTGCCAGAGGCACTTGGCTATATGTTTCACGTTCCGACTCCGGAGTATCATTACACCTCACATCATCATCACGTAATGTCCTTCCAATGATTTAGCTGACGATACTTTTTCACAGATCTTTGTAGTAGGGAAATCCATTACCGTTGCATTATAACTCTAACAACTACAGGTAATGATAATAAGAATGATACTGATTATAGAAATACTGATAAGGATGCCACCGGTAATGATACACAATATAATCATAATAATAATAATTTCTACGTTTAACGCTCCAACGCCAGGCCCATCCCTTCTCATTTCTCCCCCACCATTATCCCACGCACGTGTTCTCATGAACGACATGTTCAGTTCAGACACAGACGGGTATTTATTTATGTCTTCTGGCAGATTACCTGTGGTGAACAAATTATTACACGTAACCAACAGATCATCATGCGGCCATCTTTTTCTGACTTTGCCACCTTCGCTGCGTGGTTCACTCCTGTCCCTGTGTCATTCATACAAGTTTATCACTTCGCCAGGTTTCGATTTATTCGAAACTGAAAGTGAAAGGAAGAAAAAGTGTCTTGTCAGCTTGCCAACTGTCGATCTCTTGAATTTTATTTTAAGAAAATAAAAACAAAACAATGTCTTTATTGCAAGTTTCGATTTACATGAAATTGAGAGTTTTAAAAATTAAAATGTGATATGTTTTGAGCTTGCCAATATCAACTTGTTTTGAAGTAAAGGGTTTTTTAAAATTATAAGTACACACACTTGGATAAGGAAGGGTTTGTTTATTACCAGTAAAGATGTGAGTAAATTTTGGTCAGCCACATGTTTTTGTTCGCATAAGTGTGTCGTTTCTCTCTCTCTCTCTCTCTCTCTCTCTCTCTCTCTCTCTCTCTCTCTCTCTCTCTCTCTCTC